CTTTTTTTTTTTTTTTTTCCCCATTTTTTTGGTGGTACGTTAAAGTTAACTTCTAATCAGTCATAATCAAGCTTAAAAGCTTGTCTCTCCCTCGTCCGTCTTTATTAACCTACCAGTTTCCATTCTAAAATACAAAAAAAGCAAATTATTAAATAATATAAGATTTATTTTTTAGTATTTTAAATAATATAACTTATTAGTCTACAATTTGATTTTATTTATCATTATTTAATAAGTAAACATTAAGTTAAAACTGATATATAATTCAAACTCAATACTTTTTATTTTTAATAAAAAAAATTATCACTATATTATTTAAATTAGTGGCTTACATCAAACTTTTAAAAATATAAAAATACAGTAAATGGGCAGTCGGGCCCTCCATTTTAGACCCTTTTTTTTCCATTTTTTTGGTAGTACATTAAACCGAACTTCTAATCAGTCTTAATTAAGTCTTTAAAGCCCAATATTCCCACTTCCATCTTTATTAACCTATCGGTTTCCATTCTAACTCTGCCGAGGACTTGCTTGACTTACAGAACAGATTTCTTCATTTGCAGCCTACACCTACAGGTAACACCTGTTAATTGAGTTTCTATTGCAGACATCAATCTCTTGTTTTAGTTATCTCTTAGTATGTTTGTAATTTGGAATTTTACATGCCCCTGTTTCAAGTAGGAATTTCAGAATTGATCCTCAATTTCTTTGGATTTACTTAGAAGAACATCGATGTTATTTATTTATATCTTTTTTTTCCTTGTTCTTTAGGAGAACTTAAAACTACTTATAACAGATTACAAAGTATACTTGATAGCATGATTTCAGTTATGTAACTGATCACATAGGAAAATTAGAAACTAATACTACTTGTATGAGTCTGTCAGTTAGCTATTCACTCCTTTAATTAGTTTATCATTTTTCTCTTTGTTTTTTTTATCAATTTCTTTTTGAGTGTTCTCTTGTTTAATTAGTTTAATTAGTTTAGTTTGACGAAAATAAAAGGTTAAATGCTAAATTTGGTCCCTCAACTTTAATAAGTTGCATATTTTTGGTCCCTCAACAATTTTTTGTACTTTTTTGATTCCTCAATTATACAAAATGTACTCCGTTAATCTTTCTGTCAGTTTGAGCCGTTAATTCGGCCCCATGGCATTTTTTATATTTTTTTTGATGACATGGCAAGCACAACTTAAAAAGATGCTTATCTAAACTTTTTTTTTTTATGACATGTCATCTTCTTCATGCCAAACCCCTCCAATGGATTCCAATTGCTTGCAAATTGGTTTCTCATCTTCACCATCTGCAAAATCGATCTTAACCCATTTCTTCTTATTCTTTGAATGCTCTCTCATCTCCACTCCATCTGCAAAATCGATCTTAACCCATTTCTTCTTCTTCTGTGAATGCTTTCTCATCTCTACTCTATCTACAAAACCGATCTTAACTCACCCATTTCTTCTTCTTCTCTTTTCTCAGGGAAACTTGAGCTACTGGATTTCATTGAAACCTCAAACCTGGCAAATCTTACCAAATCAAAATAACCCTTCAATAAACAATACCAATCAAACTCTAATCGAATTTCAACAAAAATACAATCAAACTTTAATCAAATTCCAACAAAAATGCAATCAATTTATAAATCAATCTCCAAATATATTAACAACTGGAAATGGAAATCGAAAGAAGAACGAAAAAAACAAGAACCAAGCTTTCCCAGCAAAGCTGGGTTCGGTTGAAACCCAGCCTTGGCTAGGTTCCGGCGAACCCAGCCTTGGATGGTCGCAAACCCAGCAAGGCTGGGTTTCCACCAAACCCAGCAAGCCTGGGTTTCCACCAAACCCAGCAAGCCGAACCTAGCCTTGCTGGGTTCCGGCGAACCCAGCCTTGGCTGGTCGCAAACCTAGCAAGGCACTGAACCCGAAAGAAAGAAAGAGGAAAAAAGAAAGGGAAGAAGAGGGATTGGGAGGGTGAGGGTGAGGGTGAGGATGAGGGTTATAAGGTAATTTTATATGTTTTTAATTAAAATATGTATATTAATTTATGTGGCATTTTTATTTATTTATATAATATAATTATAATATATATTAGTGCCACATCATCAAAAAAATTAAAAAACAATACCATATGA